TGTGACTTGTTGGCGATAAATTTATTAGCTTTCTTGAGCTACAGAGGGTCAGAGTAACAGATATTTTATGTACAGTTACAAAGATATTGACTGATGTTGGATTATCTCTAAATGAATTGCGTGGTCAAGTGTATGATGGAGCATCCATCGTGGCTGGCGAAAGATTTGGTGTCCAAAAACAAGTTCGAGATATGCAAAGCAAGGCCTTGTACACTCATTGTACGGGTCACTCACTTAATCTTACTATTTTAAGTTAATGTTCAGTTCCACCAATACGTAATTGTATCGATCAAGTTAAAGGAATAACTATTTGGATTAAATCTTTATTAAACGTGGGGGACTATTCAAGGCAATCTATCAAAAGGAGATCCAGCATGAAACCAGCTTCATCACGTTTTCCACTACTCAATGTGTGCATTACACGCTGGGTTGGGAATAATGAAGGTTGGGAAAGGTTCTGTTTATGTCATCCATTCTTTCTTCACATGTGTGAGGTTATATGTAGGAAGATGATAACTTTGAAATGTTTAATTACAATTGGACTGCTGAAGATAAGAAAATTCCATGGCTTATCTAAAAATACTGGAATTCTTTAAATTTATTTTTACAATGTTATTTTTACTATTTGAAAAAAGCTTCTGTATATTTGCGAGGTCAAAGCCAAGACATTATTTCTAGTGTTTTCTTAATAGAACAATTCTGTAAGGAACTGATTTCACTAAGAGCGAATGTAGATGATTATTCACACCGTATTTTCAAGCACAGCAGTAATATTGTAAACAAATCTAATATTAATGTTAGCATGCCACAAGCTAGTCAACGATAAGTCCAACGTGCAAATACAGAATATAGTTCTGTAAGAAAACAGTAACCATTCCTTTTATTAACCAGATTATCAGTAATCTTTCCTCAAGATTTGATACACATGTAAATCAAGCACCATCAATTCAGAAACACATGTCATTAAAACTCACACAAGAGTTTTCTATCTCTGATATAAAACAATCCATACATTTTTACAGGGAAGATTTGACAAATCCTGATATTTTTGATGAAGAAGTTGGCTTTCTATATCTCTCCAGGACAGGCTCCAGATACTGGCTGACTGCTTAAAAGCGTGCTTCAGTGTACCAAGTATCCTTATGTTACTGAAACTATTTGCCACATTGCCACTAAGTTCATGTTCATGTGAACGTTCGGAATCTGCTCTCCGCCGGTTGAATTACCTGAGATGTACAGAAACCGAAGAAATACTGAGTGCTCTAGCTTCAATACATAATCATTATGACACTACTATCAACATTGAAACTGTATGTTAGTTATTTATGGAAAAGCACCCCAGAAAAATAGAGTATGCTAACATGTTAATTGTCATAGCTAATATACTATTGTTGTGC